GGTAATACAAGAATATAAATATACTATACTAAAAATAAATAAGATAATACATATATGAAATACTAATATAATAATAAGATAAAATAATAATAAAATACGTTGTAATAAAAATATATAAAAAATAAAGAAATAGGGTCAACACTGGTTAAATCAAATATTATAAAAAAGGTAAGTTTTCTCTTCACCCCAAGTAGATTCAAATAGTTTTCAAATAAAATTCAAATAATTCTAAATAATAAAATTTAGATAGTAATCTTAACTGTAAATTAATTCTATAATTGAATTAATATTTTTATAATTTTAAAGTAATTGGATTATTGATTTTCTTCGTAATAAACTCATATCTTTTATATTAAAACTCTATTATTCTTTATTAATTTATATTCTTTGAATATAAATTCTGACCCATAAATTTCTGTTATTATTTTATAAACTGTTGATAAACATATTTAATTCTTTACCTTAATTTTTTAAATCAATCTTTAAAATTTAATTATTAATCAATATTTAAAAACCATGATAATAAATTCTTAAATTCTTTAATTAATTTTTAGTATTTAACTTAAAATTTCTTTTATTCTTCTTCTATTATCTTCTTCAATTTATAAACTAAAATAACTGTTTATGAGTTACTAGTTGTAAATTACCTTTTGAAAATTAGAATTAGCTCAAAAGGTCAACTAGTAATACTGGCTATAGGAAAAAGTTGAAATAAATCTTTAATCACTATTATATTTATACCATCAAAGACAATAGAATTTTGATGAAGATTTGTAAAAAGATCAAAGATAAAATCAAAAAGTTTTTTTTAAAATCATGAAAATTTCATCAATAATTAGAGTATCAATTTCTTTTAATTTTATATTAAGTTCTTTATTAATATAAGTTTAAGTATAGAAATTTTCATAGGTAGATACAATATGTAATTCAGAGTGAATTGTTTTTCCTTCTATATTTTGAGCTGTAATTCTAGTAGGAGCCAATAAAAGATAATTTGAATGCCTCTGATCAAGTATATTTTTTATCATATTTAAAATATATAATTTATTAATTCCTGTAAAACCAGTTATAAAATAATATAGTCACTTGTTTCTATTATTTTTATCCTTGTACATTGAGATTATTGATAGTATATGATATTGATCTGGAGGTAATTTCAACATTGCAGTTTTTGAATAAATATTTGAAAGAATTTTTAAATTTTGTAATTGTCTTTGTATAATATTTAATAGATTATTTGAAAATTAATTATCAAAAGATTGTAATAATCTATTTAATATTTCTACAAATTAATTATTAAAATTTACTATTCGTGATTAATGGATATTTGTAATTTGATTTTGTAATGTATTTAAAATTCAAGAAATATTAATAGAAATTTTTCACGATAAGTTTCATTTGATCCTATTTGATAATCAGTTTCATTTCTTACTGAAACATTTAATAATAATTATTGATAAAAATATAATTCATTATCTTCAATTTTAAGAAATCGATATTAGATTATTATTGTTTTTAAATGTTTTACTATATAATTATTCAATTGATCTCGAAAAATCTGACATGATATTGATAATAATGGTGAAGATAAAATAGAATATCTTTCAAAATATTGAAAGTATGTAAGATTATTGAATTCTGGTAATAAGGGATGATACATATATTTTGTTACTGTATCATCATAATAGGAATTATCATTATTTTCATCAATTATATATATAGGAAAGATTGCATGTGTTCTTGTAGTAGGGGGTTCAGTGAATAAAAACTTTACAGTCATGAAAGAATTATAGATTTGATGATCCAGTAAGAGAAATATTAATTCTATATAGTCAAGTTCTCTTACTATGACATGTTCTTGTAATTTATCATTCTCATGAATATTAAATATATGAAATGATTCACATTTTGTAATATATTTTACAATATATTTTGCAAAATCCCTATTTGTAATATATTGTATATTTATATAAGCATTCTAGATTAACAACGTTGATACATAATAGGAGACTACTTAAAAATTAGTTTCAGTTAAACATTTATATATATATTTATAATTACCTTCTTCATAATATGTTATTTCACCAGGCAGTAGGTTGCAGGCCTGTCTCTTATGAGTTAGTTCGAGTCTTATCTTTTCAAATAAACATTAGAATAAGTTGTGTATTTTGTATTATGTAATCTTATGTAATGTAAAAAATTTTTTCTTTTTTTAATTAATAAATTTGAGGCAAGACCTCGTTGAAACAAAAAAAAATAATACGTTATTTCACTGAAAGGACATGGAAATTCTTTTTTACATACTTGTTCTAAGGTTACTGGATCTCCACATTTTTGATTACATATATGAATTTGATTAGCTATGACTGCAAATATAATTTTAGTTCATATAATAAATTAGGAACTGTTGAATGAATTGTATCATTTTTAATTATGATTTCAATGGGATTAGTTGTTCAGTAACAACTGTGAGTGTGAGTTGCTCCCCTGTTTTGAAATTCTACATGATCAAAAAAATTTGTTATTTCATCAAATCCTATAAGATCAAATTTTTTATAAAGTTTTTTCTTTAATAATTGAAATTAGTAAACAAAATAATTGGCATATGGAAAAGTCGATTGGTTGGTAAAATATTTTCATTATCACTATTCATGTAAGTGTGTTCAATGATTTTCTGCCATACTTAATGTAATAAACAAAGTAGGTAATTTCAATTTTTATAATATTATATTTAGGTAAAGTTATATTTCATGAAAATAGGTATCATCTGTATGTATGAATATTGAAAGTGAAAATATTTTACTCTCATTAATTATATTACGAGATTCATATGAACTTTGTTAAAGTAAATCTTGAGTATTTGGTAATTTGATATTGTCTAAATGAGATTGTCATAATAGGTATTATATATTTTGATGATGTCATAATTTTTCTAATTATAAATAAGACCATGAAGGTCAATGGTGATGTAATCTCCACCTTGAATCATAATTCATCAATTGTTATTTAATATATTTTCTATATGCTTCTTCTCTATTATTATTATTAGATACTTGTTGATTTATAACATCATGAAAGTGACCTTTCCCATCAGTAAATAAATCAGGAAAAAGTAATAGTTAAAAATTTAGATCATTTACTGGAATTGATATTTTTAAGGTATCACTTTCCTAAATGAAACCTGCCATTAATCTGGAATAATGAAAATCTTCATTATGTATTTCATTAGAAAAATTATTATTTGGAATAATAATTTCATGTGAAGTTATTGCTGGAGTGTTTATATCTGTTTGAATAAGTTTTGCTTACAGAAATGGATTGTTTAAATTTAGATAATAATATACCTGCCACCCAAATTCAAAATCCAAATGCCGAAATCCCAAATGCCAAAATCCCAAATCTCAAATCCCAAATTATGATTAGTATTTTTTGCCGAAATCCCAAATCCCAAATCTCAAATACTAGTAATTTGAAATTTTGGTGTCCCAAATCCCAAATGATTTGGGATTTGGGCAACACGTATAGATAATAACATGATAATAAAATATTTGTATATGGTTGAAGATATATATTATTTCTGGTTAACCAAGTGACAGCTCTTCGTAGAGTTTCATTATTAAATTTATTAGAAGTATTGATATTATTGTTATTATTATATATTATTGTTAGTTCTAGGAAAACTTCAACAATTTCAAAATATAATATATGTACTCCTATATTACGTAAATAATTTATTGTTTCAACTAAATTCCTATATTCAAAATAAATATTACTATTTGATATTCTTTCTAAAGAACAATGTAAGAAAATGGGAGACAAGCATTTCTTTAAATGTAAGGGAACCAAAACTATTTCTTCTGGTATTGGAGATAAGTAAGGAAATAAAAATCTCATGGAAGAATTTTTATAAGAGTCACATGTGAGAACCCTATTTTCAGAAATACGATTTGTGTGTAGGTAAAAGAACAAAATTATATCTGGAATATTTTGTTGCAAGGGATATATTAAGGATAAATTATAAATTATTCAACATGCCTTCTCAGAATATAATAATTTTCCACAATAAACATACACAATTTGAGACCATTGTTTTAAAATATTGTTTTGAAATTTATCATATAGTCTTTGTAATTTTGAAGAAGGTCTCCAATAGAATAGTTGTGATAAATTTGTTTGATTTGCAATTGATTGTATTTGGTTATGAAGGTTATTAGTAATTATTGCAGAATTAGAATTATCAGTTCAATCTAATGTAGTTTTATGTTCATTATCAAATGTGTATATATTGTAAAGTTGATAATTCATTTTGAATATTTTTTTTTGTATTTTTATAAAAAGAATAATATAAAAATACTATTTATTGTTCTATAAAACTTTATTTTTTTTTTTTTTTAACTCTATTTATATTTATTTTATAACAGATTTAATTCATTCAAATATAGTGTAAACATTTAATGTTATTTTTATTTTTATATTTAAACTTGTAGATAAATAAAAAATATAAAAATATATATAAATGAATTATCCATTTAAATCAAATTGTTAATTGTATAAAAATTTAAATTAGTTTTAAAATTATCAATTAATTAAATTTATTATCTAAATACAAAAAAAAATAATATAAATGAATTATTCATTTTAAGCAGATTGTTAATTGTATAAAAGTTTAAATTAATTTTGTAAAAAATATAATTATAAATTAAAATAATCAGTCAATCAATTTATTATATAAATAATATTTTTGTAAGTATAAAATTGAAATTGTATAAATTTAAATAATATTTTTTTAAACTATAAAATAAAAATAAATTATTTTTTTTTTTTTTTAATCTGTACTATTATAAGTAACAGTTTAAAAAGTATGTGATTAAAAATAAAAGAATATTTTTTTTAATTATTATCATTATCTTGTTGAATTGATGATGAAAGTTAATCTGGTGAAGATTGATTTGTTGGGATTTGTTGATTAGTATTCATGTTAAAAATTGAATTTATATCCAATGCTGCCCTTACAGTTGAACCCATTTGAGCTAATATTGTACAGCTCCTTTTTGTTAAAGTTCTTAGTATAGCACTACAAGTTGATCTATTAGTTCTTTCAGAGTTATTTGATCAGGAAACATTTAAGGATCACCTATTTTCTTCTGAACAGTTGGTTAAAAGTATAGACATGTCAACTAACTCTAAAATGTGTTTTTCTGATTCAGTCTCTTGGAAAGTTGTGAGGTCAATAACTGAAGGTTCGTATTTCATAGAACTTATTAAGGTAGTCATTGTTGACCTGCTACTCAAATTTATTGTATTGATTTTATTTATAAGATATTGATTGTTGATTTCATGCCTCATCTCGATTCAAAAATTTCTAAGCTCCCTATCTCCAAGATACTTTTCAATAAAAAATTTTATCATTGCCTTCTTCTCAAAGTTCTGAACTGTTTATGTGATTATTCTAGTTAACATTACTTGAAGGTCTATAGCTGGCATGATATCAAATTCTAAACTTAATAAAACTTGAATGGAGATGGCACTCATCTTAAAATAAAAATATATCAATTAATTAGTATTCTTTTTTTTTTTATTTCTTAATTTCATTAATTAAGATCTATTTAAAGTACTTACTGCATACTATCCATTGTTGGCTACAAATTTTCCAGTTAAAAGGATCACTTGTTCCTTTTCAAATTTCTCAATTTGTATTTTTATAGTTAAGTCCAGTGAAATAAAAGTTTTAATTCTTAAATACATAATTTTTTGGGAATCATTGTTATCCAGTCTAACAATACTAGTAATTTCTTTAATTGTAAAATCAGATACTATGTGATTAGTGAAATCATGAATATAGTAGATAGTCATCAATTTCACAGGCATCTTAATTTAAGAAGAAAATTTTAACTAAAGAAGTTTTTTTATTATCAAGGAAAAAAATTCAGAATTCTATTTTTTTACTATTTATTTCAGAAAAAAATTCAATTTTAAAAAGAAAAGAAAAAAGAAAGAAATTTGAAATTCTATGTAAAAACTTGAGTTTTTTTTTTTATTTTATTGTTCAAATCTTTTTTCATATTGTCAATAATATTTACCTTTATATTTTTATTACTTTATCATATTTAGTTAAATTATAATAATTTAATAATAATAAATAATTATAATAAAATATCTAAGTAAGAACATTTCATCTAATTTTACATTTAATTACTTTATCATATCTTGATTAAATTATAATAATTATAATAAATAATAATATTTAAAATACCTAAATCCAGTAAAAATATCTTTATTTTTTATCAGTAGAATTTATAAATAATAACATTTAACCTTTATATTTAATTACTTTATCACATTTGATTAAACTATAATAAATAATAAATTATAAATAATAATAATAAAATACCTAGATATAGCGAAAATATATATAGTGTAACAAAAATTTTTAGTGGAATTTATAAATAATGACATTTCATTTACTTTTATATTTTATTACTTCACCATATTTGGTTAAAAAAAAAAATAATTCAAATTATTTTATCACATTAGGTTAAATTATAATAAATAATAAATTATAAAATAATAATAAAATATTCAAATATAACAAAATATAGTGTAGCAAAAATTTTTTATTTTTTATTTATAAATAATGACACTCCATTTACTTTTATATTTTATCACTTTACCATATTTGATTAAAAAAATAAATAATTTAAAGAATATAATAAATTCATATAATGAATTTTTCAAAAATCCATTACATGAATCTATTATATTCTTTGAATTATTTATTTTTTATATAAAGAACATAGATTCCTGGAAGGTGGATGGGAGGTCACTCTTAATGGAAATCAATTTTGAAATAGATATCAATTTCAAATTGATTACCATTATGAAATTGATTACCATTAAGATTAAAATAAAAACTCAAAGATTTTTCTTCCTTTTCCATGCAAGAAAATCTTGTCAAAAAAGAATATCATGGGCAAGTGTTTTGATTATCATGGACAAGTGTTTTAATTATCCTTTTCCTAGAACTTCACAAGATTTACCACTCACATTGCGAATTTCCACACATGATGCCAACATGATTCAAACAAAATAGGAAAAACATTAGCTCTAAAATCTATACCATTATAACATATTTATTTATATTTGGTGTTTTAATCACAAAGTTTGTTCTTGTATATGTTTTACTATAACAATTTGTACTTGAATTACAAGTATTTTTTTTAAACAAAAAAAATAAATTTTTGAAAAAAAAATCCATTTATCTAAATAATTTATTATCATCTTACAAAAATTATTATTATTATTTTTAATCAAACATTTTTATTTTGAACTAATGATTTTTTCCTTTTGCATTATTTTTTTTTGTTTATAAAGAGTATAAGATTATTGTTTAAAAAATTCTAGATTTGTTCATTTATAGTTTGTATTTCACAAAAATCTTATTATCTTATAATTCTGTTGATTTTTTTTGATATTCAAAAACAAAGAAAAAATAAAATAAATAAATAAATACATTGAAATAAAACTTATAAATAAATAAAATCACCAGATTTCTGTTATACGATTCTTGCATTATAAATAAAAAAAATATGATATCAATTATGTGACTTTCAATATAAGAAAGAAAGCACAAATCACATTTGATATTAATGATATTAAGATAATATGTATCTTATTGTCTCATTGGTATGTTTCATATGTCATAATCTAAAATTTAATTATATTATCATTAATGATTAAATAAAATAAAAAACAATGATAAGAAAATACGATTTCTGAAATTTATTTACAAAATCATTCGCGATTTCATCAGCTGATAAACGCCAATTATAATAACAAAAATTGCTAATAAAAAGTGATTATTTATTTTCCAATGTATTTTATTGCAAAAACTTAATTGATAATAATGATAATAATAAATCATACCTCATTTGCCCCTTAAACTCAGCGTAAAAGGAATGCCCTATTCTCAACGGGTCTTTGTTGAACACAATATATTCCTTTTGAACTTGTTCAATGCTCTTGAATCCAACCCATTTTCCGTCTATGTAGAAATCCAAACGCTTATGAAGATCCGAGAGTGTGTATCCTATATGGTACCATTTATTTAAAACAAATCCTTTGCCAATTGCGTCAATTCCAGAATTTTTATCAATATTCGTCGAGAACCTAGGACATGGTTGTGAGTCGTTCGGTGTTAGATAAAGAGCGGGGGCACGGATCAATTTATCTGCACCTAGGCATATGTTATATTTTTTGGAATGGAGAATGTCAGTTTAAATAATATTAAATACAATTTTGAAACTATTCCTCTTGTGCTGTATACCTTTCTGAAAGATAGTAATCCATCCTGAATCATGACTCTGAAGATTCAATCGCAGAGTCACTGACAATTCATTTGTCACGGGAGGCAATTCATCATGTTCGACAACTGTTTTACTAGCAGGAAAATTTAAGGGTCCTGATAAAATCACTTTGGAGATTTTGGAGTTCATCTTTTATATATAATATTTTCTGGAAGTCAAACTAATTTCACATGATAACCCCTATCCTACTATCCTAAATCATAATTTTTACCAAAATTACAAAATTTTTGCTGCATGAAACCAGTCTTAATAAAATTGAGCAAATATTGTAAATATTATTATACATCGTTCGGGGCCTTGAAAAATCCTCTCTCTCGCTTTAAATGCTCCAGAATGTCTAAAATAGTTCCCACAAAACCACCATTGGATACACTTTGTACACTTATTCCCCCACTTTCTGCGAAATTTTACAAAGGCCAATTAGGTATCCTACATTAAAATAAAGATTTTAATTCTTTTTTTTTTCTTAAAAATAAATCACCAAAAAAAAAAATTTTTTATAGGTCGAGTTGGCGTCATTGGTGGCTCGGAGGAGTAAGTAAGAAGGCTTTTTTTTTTTGCAAAAATTCTTTTTACCACATTCACCTTTTTTTTTTTGTGGTTATAGATATACTGGAGCTCCTTATTTCAGTGCAATTTCCGCGTTAAAACTTGTAGGTAATATTTGGACAAGATTTCAAGGTTTCTAAATATAATTTAAATACAAATTCTGACATTATTTTAAAGGGTGCTGACTTGGCTCATGTCATTTGCCAACCTACTGCAGCTATAGTGATTAAGGTAAGAGATAATTTTTTATATTAAATATATATAAGAAACAAAAGAAATTTATAATCATTTATTATTTTATCATTTTTCTAGAGCTATTCGCCAGGTAAAATTTTTTTTGTTCATTACTTTGATTAATTTATATGAATTAAAAATTTTAAAGATTTTTCTTTTTAATTTTATATAATAGATTTAATAGTTCATCCTTACATGCGTAGATCAGAGTTAGTTTATTATATTTTATAATATAATTAAAAATAAATATATATATATATCATATCTAACTAATTTTTAGAAAAAATCCAGATTTAAGTGCTGATGAAATCATAAATAATGTTGAGGAATTATTTCCACGTCTACATGTGTTAGTGGTGGGACCTGGATTATCAAGAGACCTGATGATGCTGAATTGTGCTCAAGGAATTATACAAAAGGCTAAAGAAAAAATGATGCCAATTATAATTGATGCTGTAAAAAGAATCTCTTTATGTTACGGTTCTTTCTATAAGATTAATATAACCCATTAATTCTAATATTTTTGGGAGGATTTAGGATGGATTATTCCTTGTTCAAAACAATCCCAATGTTATTAAGGATTATCCTAAAGCTATATTAACGCCAAATCTGAATGAATTTAAACGGCTTTGTGAAACTATGGTAATCAAATCTTATAGAAAGTGATTATTATTTCATTTGATATATCTCAACATTCTTCTAAAAATAAATCAATTAGAATGTTAGCTCTGAAAATAATAGTTTGGAAGAGATGACCCAACAATTAAGCAAAGCATTTGGAGGAGTGATCATTGTAAATAAGGGAAAAACTGATTTTATTTCAAATGGAAATGTTGGTAAGCAGATTATTCTTTATTAAAATATATATATATTTTTTTTTTATAAATCCAGTCTATAATAACTCTTTTTATATGGAATTGTAGTATTCTTTGTTGATAATGAGGGAGGTCTTAAAAGGTGTGGTGGTCAAGGTGATGTTCTTACAGGTCTTATAGCTACTTTTTTGGACTGGGGTTTAGCATATCAAAATAAAATCTGGCAGTATGTAAAATGAATCATTCTTTCATTTAATTTTATATACATATTTATATATTTTTTGTATTAATTTTCTTATTTTCTAAAAAGACACGATAACAAGATATCACCCGATGATATTATTATGTTAGCCAGTTTTGCTGGATGTGTCATTACCCGAGAATGCTCGCGTATTGCATTTGGAAAATTAGGTCGTTCTGTACAAACATCAGATATTATTTCTGAAATTGCATATTCTTTTAACAACTTTTTAGAAGGTAAATGTACACAAAGACCATCAATTTAAATATGTGAGTGTTATTTTTTGTATATTTAAAAATTTCAGTAATATTTTTTGAGATATATAATATTGTATTTAATGTTATAATATTTTTTTTTAAAAAAGATCTTATTTACAATATTATTTCAACATGTAAAATACGAAAATTAATTTTATAATATTATTGACATATTTATGCATATGATCACCAAAATTATTCCATATACATGTATTTTATTATTAAATTTTATTAAATTTTATTAATAATTCACATTCACCAGAAAATTAAATAAACAGTAATTAATATATATTTTTTACTTTATATTTACAATGGAATAAAGAGGAAACCCCGTTAGTCATTAAAAAAAAAGTAAACATTTTTTAAATTAAAAATTTTCTTTATTGAAATAGAATTGAACCGTTTCGACTTGAGAATTTCAAGTTATTGGATTGTTTTGACTTCAAGCTGGTAAAATCACAGTTCAGCTTGACTTGATTGTTTTAGAGCTGATGGGTCGATAATATAAATCACATAATCTTGATCTATTGATAAACTCGATTCCTAAAAATAAAATAAAAAATCCATTTGTATATGGGGAACTAATTAGTAAACGTAGAAATAGAGCTATAGAAGCATGTATAATTAATTTATTATTATTAAATATTTTGATAGTAAAGTATGTTTTATATTATGTACATTATGTATAATAATGTAATATAGGAAACCTTCAAATTAATAAATTTAAGATAAGGACTCACTAAAACAAAACAAATAATAATTTTCATCCATCGACCCCATAAACTTTGACCTCATCAGCCTCATCAGCCTCATCAACCCCGTTCGGTTTGACCAGTCTGACCAATCTGACAAGGATGGGCATATGCTCATCGTGATCGGGGTGTTGATTTAATCAACATATAGAGAAGCCATTTCGTATCAACTGCTAATAAATACAAAGCTCGAAAAATCTCAAGTATATATGTAGCGAAATTGTTACTAATTGAAGATTTGGATTTATTAGTTTTATGTGAAAAATCATCATGCTAAATCTTCGCTTCGATTATATCTCTATTTATTTTTTTTTAAAAAAAAAGAGCTTTGTTCATTTTGTTTACTAAAAATTACGACCCCCCCAAAAAAAAAATTATTTCGGACGAGGTTCTATTGTCTCTTGTTCACTACTTGACAATAAAGTTTGTATAAGAAATTGTAATTTATATGTTTTTTCTAATAGATTCTTCAGATAAGTTCGCTGTGATTCAGATTCCTTTTTTTTTTTTTTGGTGTAAAGTTTTTTTTTGAGATTAATGATAGTAGAAGATGAGATGAAGAAAGAAAGGTTGAAAAAAAAAGTTTATTAGATTTTAATTAACAAAAGAATTAATTGGAAAAAAAAATAAATGAGTGTTATAATTATTTAGATAAAGTACTTGAATGAGTGAATCACGTGTTTCTATTAACTGAGTGATTATAGGATCTGAAGTATCCATATTATTTTCTTTAGCCTAAAAGATGAAAAAAAAATATATATTAAAAAAAAAAAAAAATTTTTTTTTAAAAAAAAAATGTTTATGAAATTTACTTTTTCCTCTTCAATTTTCTTTTCCTGAAAATCACTAATTTGCGTTATCAAACCTTTTAATTCCTCAAAAACTTTTTTATATTTTTCATGACTTTCTATAACTTTTAGTTGTAATTCTTTCTCGTTATTTTCTTCAAAAGAAGAATAGTTTGACAAAGAAACAAATATTTCTCCAGCGGTTTCTACAAGTTTATTAAGAGTTGATAAACCTTCAACAGCTAAACTTTCTAGAGTTGTTGTCGTTGTTGTCGTTATTTGATTTTCCATGAAATTTTTTTATTATGATTAACGAGAATTTTCAATAATTAAAATAACTAAAATAATTGAATAAATTCTCGATTTCAAATATATATATATAAAATAACGTAATACAAGCAATCCCATAATCATTTATTTTTCATCAAATAAATTCATATATTTAGATTTCAAATGTAATAATATTAGTTGGTCAATTTGGCAGTTGACTGTAACTCTGCTTCTGGAGAACTAGGGTGGTGGAATAATCCTCACTTGGAGTTACAATTCTTAACTCCGCACGTAGAGAGTAGTGTCTCACTTGAACTTAATGTGAACATTCTGGCTTGAGTGTAAATTTGGGCCAGGAGGTTCTTAAATAGCGGGGGATTCAGCCCGAGGCTGGAAACAGAGCAGGGAAAACCCGCAGCATTAAGTGGCAGTGAGATAGCACACTTGAGTGATTGGTAGTTGGGGTTGCCGAGTGAGATGGTTGGACTGCTTACCCGCCTTCCTTTTTATAATATTATCATGTACGAAATCATGTGCATTTACCATTAAAAAATTTTAATATCTTATACATTACATTTCATATTTTTCATATAATAATAATGAAACTCAAAATTTTAATACTTGGAGCTGGCTACGGAACTCGCCTTCAACATGATATTAAACAAGAACCCTGCCAAAAATATATTCATCTGTTAGGACTTCCCAAAGCACTTTTACCAATAGGTGATAAAGATGCACTCATAACGCATTGGCTTCAAATATTTAAAAATTCTGAACTGAATTCTAAAAATTCTATTAATTCTAGTGTATACGTAGTGACAAATTCCAAATTTTATAATAATTTTATTTCTTGGGCTAATGAAAATGGGATTCCAACTTCTAATATTGTCAATGATGGAACTACCTGTAATGAGAATAGATTAGGTGCAATTTCTGATATTCAATTTGGTTTACAATATTTTCAACTTTATGATTCGGATGTACTTATTATTGGAGGAGATACTTTATTTTTAAGTGATTTTAATTTTAATAAATTAATGAAACAATTTAAAGATAATAAAGATGGTTGTTTATTAACAACTTATGTTGTTCCTCCTAATGAAAATATTAGTAAATATGGAATTCTTACATTAGAAAATTTATCAAATAATCAAATTCTTGTGAATAATTTCATCGAGAAACCCAAGAATCCTTCTCAAAAAACTATTTCAAGAAATGCTTGTCCCTGTTTTTATTTTCTTAAACGGGAAGTCTTACCTTTAATAAATGAATTTCTTAAAGAATCAAAAGAAGATAAAACAAAAACGATTGAAGATCGAGATGCTACAGGAAAATTTTTAGCTTGGGTTATTAATGAAAATAAATTCAAATTTTATGCTAGTAAAGTAGAAGGAAGAATAGATGTAGGAGGATTAGAAAGTTATTTAGATGCACAAAAATATTTCGAGAATCAAAAATTCCCAAAATTGGATTCATTGGAAAAAAGATATCAAACAAACTAATAAATAATTCTTAATAATTTTTAATTTAATATTTAATTAAATTCTATACTACTATTGTAACTTTATAATATAATAATATTGATATATTCAAATAGTTATAGATTCAATAATAATAATAATAATAATTAAGTAAGAAAAAATTAATTTTAATAAATTAGTACAATAAAAAAAAAATATATAAAATTTAAATTACTATTCTTATTAAACAAAAAAAAATATAATATATTAATAAAAAAAAAAAATTTGTAAACCTCATGTATAATAAATATAATGCAACAAGGATTTAAAACACACCCAATTTGACCCAACTTATAAATATACAAATACAAAATTTGCAAATGTTTTTTTTTTTTTGCAAATGTGTTGTTAAGAAAGAAAGAATTTACCCAAGATTGTCATGCACCCTTTATAATAAAAATAATCACGGAATATATAATAAATGAGAATAGTGATAATAACAGTGATAAGGGAATAAATAAATCTTTTGTTACATAATTTATAAAATATAATCTAGAGAGAGAGAGAGAAAAAAAAATATATTTTTTTTAATTACTGTAATTACTGTAAATAATACCTGACAAAACATTAATCCACATTAATCTAACAAAATGCATCTAGAGAAAGAAATTTGCCATAAATTATAAAAAAATGAATCCAAAAAATGAATCAGAAAAAAAATGAAGCAAAAAAGAGAACATATAAAATATCTTTAGAACCGAGGAGAAAAATTAGTGAGAAATTAATATAAATAATAATAATAATAATGATTAAAGAAATTAATTTTTCTTTCCGAAAATCTTGCTGCCTTTTGAAACGCTATTAAAAAAAAAAAAAAAAAAAAGAATACATTTTTATTAGATCATAAATAATAAATAATACACAGTTTTTTATTTAATTCTGATAGTTACGTAGCATTCCGACTAGCGTTATAAAACTCTTGGAATTCTCGTTCCTCAGCTGCAAGAGCTGAACGTTGCTCTTCTAATTCTGCCATGAGTTGTTGTCGCTTTTGGTTAAGCTAATGATAAAAGATATTAAAAAAATGATTTAATATCAGAAAAGAGAATTATAATAAATAAATAAATATATATATATATTTATATTATAATAATAATAATTACTTGTTCTTCTCTTTCTCTCAAATTTGCTTCTTTTTCTCTGACTTTCATTACAAAATTTTGTCTCATTTCCTCTTCTTTCTTAATCATATCTTCTGCCATACTTTGTTTGCTTCTTTCAATCCTATGTTCATAAGAATCGTCGCAAGCAAGAATTGACTCTGGACGACCACTAGATCGAAGTTTTTGAGCACGGTAATTATGATAATGAACTGTATGACTTGTCTCAAGAAGATCGTGAAGAGCATGTGTCATAAGAAGTTCACGAAGATGAATGAAGTCACAATGTTGTTCATTTTCAACTATTATTTGTTATTATTATAATAATTAATTAATTAATAATAAAATAATTATATAAAAAATAAAATAAAATAATTTTAATAATAAATAATAAAATAAAATAAAAATTAATAATAATGTCACTTACTGACCTTCAACAACACCCCATCGATATGATCTTCCACGTACTTTTTTCCCACCAATATCCACAAATTGATCACTTCCGATTACAGTGAATGGAATATATTTCTATAAATTATATATTTTTTTAAACATTCTTCTAGTTTAAAAGTAATGAAAATATTAATTTTAGAAATAATTATTAAATTAATATTTATATTTACCTCAAGGTCTTCAACACTTTCTCGATCATCTGGATAAGCGGTAGGGAAAATCGTGATGGCATTATTTTCAATGTCTCTTAATATCTATAGATAGATAGATAGATAGATATATATATATATATAATTTGATTAATATATAATTTAATTCATAATATAATTCATATATAATATAATTTATTTAAAATTTAAAATTTAAAATTTATAATTTAATTGATTTAAAATTTATAATTTAATTGACTTAATTTATCATAATTTAATAAAAATAAATAAATACGTACAGTTTTCTTAAATGCAGCTTTCTCTTCCCGTGTAAGGGTATCAGCTTTGGCAATAACTGGAATTACATTAACTTTTGCAGATAGAACTTGAAGTGCTTTTATATCAAGTTCTTTGAGACTTTTAATATATAAATGTAAATTTAAATGATGATATATGTAATTAAAAATATATTCATTCTTATATTATTATTATTATTATTATTGTTATTGTAAGAAACTTACGCGTGTCCAGTTGGAGGAATAAAGTATAATAATGCATGTATACGAGTATCAGGAATTGCACGTCTAAATTCCGAACTACGTTCGGCTGCATGATAAACTTCAAATTGATTATCTATATATTCGACAATAGGATCAAGACTAAATAAGAAAGATATCAATCAATAAAGTCAATAATTTATATCATCAATAGTTTAATTCGATTCACGATAATAATAATAATAATAATAATAGTAATAATAATAACGAACTTATTTTCTCGGTTAAGTTGATCACCAAATCCGGGTGTATCTACAACAGTGAGATTAAGCTTGACTCCATCCTCAACCAATTCTAAAATTTCAAAAATTTCAAAAATATCAAGAAATATTAAAAATATTAAAGATTTGTCAAAAAAAAATATATATATATATTTAAATATTAAAATATTTCACTTTTATGAATGAAAAAAGAACTAACCATAATGTACAGGAGAAATTTCTACTGTTTGTGTGGATTGAGGATTTTTGGGATAGATTTCTTCTTTGAGAGGCGTATTAAATAAAGTATTCATAAAGGTTGTTTTACCAAGACCACTTTCGCCTTTTATTATAAACGAATTATCAATTATTTTAATTATCTTAATTATTTTGAAAAACCCTGATTTTTTTTTTTTTTAAAAAAAAAAAGATTTTATAACATACCAACAACCATGATATTAAGAACATAAGGTGTTCTCTTGGTCTTATTGAAACGTTGCCGAGGCAAAGCTTCAATTCCAAGAGTATCTCTTAGAAGAACATTTTTCGTTTGAGGGATCTTCCACGGACCTGGATCAGGAAATTGACCCCTATCAAGTATTTAATGTAGCATTTAATGTATCATTTAATAACCGTTTAATATAACATTTAAATGTTCCATTTAATATAACATTAATTTAATATTTAATATGAAGTTTTCGAATTTTTCTTGAGAAATTTGTCCATTTGAAACTTGAATGGTAGATTATACCATCTCATTCTCTTGGTTGAAAATCTATTTACCTGTGTTGAAGAGCGTATTCCTATACAAGGTAAAAAAATATTTATAGGTTAAGATTATTGTTGTTTTTTTTTAAAAAAAAAAGGAATCTGGCAAACCAAAATTAAAAAAAAAAAAAAACAAATTGTATCAAAAAAGAACATCAAATACCAAAGGCATTTATATAAAAGGAATTAGAGAAACGATGGAGAGTAGGGATTGAAACTGAGTTGGACTTTTGTTAGAAGGAAAAAATAAATATTTTTTAAGTCTTGGGCTTGCTTTCTATAATTTCTCGATTTCTCTCTCTCCGAGTCAAAACAAGTTAAAATAGAAAAAGGTAAGGTAAAAGAATTAATTAATGAAACTAAAATGTTAGTTTGAAATTTTCTTGATAGTGATTGGATATCAGCGTAAAAATTTTTTGAGACAACCCTTCCGCTTGTCCAATTTCGTTTGATTTTTTTTTTGAGTACACAAAATAATGTCAATAATAAAGTATTTACTATCCATTTTTTACTTTTAAATGTCTAATAATGCCTAACATGTACACTTTACAGTAGTGTATACATATTTTCGTATACAATTTTCGTACACTTTTCACTTTTCAGTAGTGTAATTTAAAAAGTTGCTAAAAATTGAACGAATAAGATAGACTTCCATTGTTTTACAATCAACTACAAATTAAAACTGAACTAAAAATGTTAAAATATTTATATTATGAATTTTTATTTTTAAATCATTCATTTTTTCGTGTCATTTTTTTTTTTTTTAAAAAAAAATTATTTTATACGAGCTGTTGCTTTAATTTCCTCTTCTGAGCTAATAATTCTTTTTTTCGCGCTTTTTCTACAGCCAATCTTTGTTTTTCTTTTTTAGGGATTTTCTGTTTTTTTGATCGTTCTTCTCTTTTAACTCCTCTCTCTTTTACATAAGGAATGAATTTCATATTGAGAGGTAATTTATCTTTATTGGCAATAAACCATTCAGCAACAGGATGACCAATTCTATTATCTCGTTTCTCTTCACCTAAATAAAATCTTACTACATCATTCATCGTTTTCATATTGTTGAGATCAAGATTTGGAATGATTCTACCAGTTTTTGACATACAATCACGCAAAATCTATAAATTAAATAAAATAAATAATAAAATAATAATAATAAAAAAATAATAATAATAATAAAATAATAATTATAAAATAATAATAAAATAATAATAACGCGTTTAATGACATAGTTAACATACCGTAAATTTGAGTGATTGATTTTCTAATTTAAAATCCATCCATTGAACTCCTGATTGCACATGAGTTTTGTAAATATTATAAATAGTACTTTTAATTTCACTTTGGTCTTTAAGTTTTGTTGGTTGTCTACAAGTTTTATAAAATATTAATTATTCATTATTATTAAATTTTTATTAATTATTAATTATCCATTATTAATTATTATTAATTATTAATAATTATTAATTATTAATAATTATCAATTATAACTATTATTATTATGTTAAATAAAAAAATTAAAATCTTTTACTTTATTCCTCCTTCAACGCCTTCAGTTTTGATCTCATCTAACAATGTTTCATAGGATGACGGTTCTTGTTCTCCTTTCAAGTTATTTTTATTTTTAATTTTATCATTTTCTTTAATATTTTCTTGATTATTTTGTTTATTATTATTATTCCCTTTATTTCCTTTATTTCCTTTAGTTGGAAATAATTTTTTTACAAAATCGAATATACTATTTGAAGTGGGAGTATGAGAAAAAGAAGCTTTGAATATTGTATGATGACTTTGTCTTACTTTGTATTTAATTATTTCTCGACGAAAATGTAATAACGACATTGAGCCATTTCAAAAATTAAAAAATTTTGATTATCATCATAATAAATTTATCTAACAATTTGATCACACATCTTTATATCTGAGTATGGTTATACGTCGGCACGTGTGTAACACAACATCGATAATTTTAACTTATACTTCAACGTTTTATGATGGTTACCTCGAATCAAAGGTAATTAAATATTGCAACTTATAATAAACAACTAATTTTTTTTTGCTAATTAAAACCATTTTTTTGTAAACCTGATGGAGAATTAATAAAGCTCCGTTAATTATGGTGGGAAAAGGGCAAACATACACCCGCAAGCAAAATGGGAAGAGGCTTTGTAAGTTGTTCTAATGTTGACTGAATATTTTACAAACTAATGATCCATATCAACCAATTTTTGCTGATTACAACAAGGCTCCCATATGTGCTCGTCGAGGGTTTGACTCCGGATGAACATGAACGCCGAACAGACGAGTTTAACATTCATGGTTTATGGGAATAGAAAGATTACAAAGTCATCATTTACGAGTTTCCATCAAAACAACATGAAACTTGCATTGGCGCAATTACTTCAGAAATAGTTGCAAAATGCATTCCTGTTAAAGGAACAAATGCCAGAATAATAAACCTAGGAGAAACTCGTAGGTATTAGTTAATTAACTATCCCATTCCTATTTCGTGATATCAAATTAATATTCTTTATTAAAGGAACTCGTGCTGATGATTTCAGAAAAGAGGCAGATGCTTCATTTCGTTTAAAGAAACCACGAATACAAGCACCAACCGGAAGTGATGGAGAGGTACCTTTTGTTTTTTATTAATTCAAAACTCTTTAACATTGTAAACTTTACATTTCATGATTTCAGAATGAACCGTGAAAGCATAGACTATGTCTTTGAGAAGGTGAAAAATTACTGGCTAAAGGATTATAGTCGTGCACAAGATGCGATAGTTTTTAAAATTGATCCAATTTCTGAGGATGTAAGTAAGTTATATTTTCTAAAAGTTTAAGTGACATTTTATTGCTTGTTTATTATTCTAAAGAATAAACCCATGTAAGCATGACACTTTTGTTCTAGAGACAGAAGAACAAGAGGAACAGATCTTCCATATCGAACTCACATAATGTCAAATATAGAAAAAATTATCTTTATTAATTTTTCAAATTTTTAATATAATGGTTTATTAATATTAGTTTGAATTTGGTACTCATGATTGAGACGGAAATTTTTGAATATTTCACAAGACGTTTGCCTCATCAATATTTATTTGGATTGTCTCTATTATCAAGCACAAATTCCTCAAAATATTCTTCCCGATCCTATTGTAGTATTGGATTTCTTCTTTATTCGAGATGAAATTTTCTATGTATATGATATATAATATAACAAGCTAGTTTAAGAAACTAATTGCTTAGCATATCCTTATGTAATAAATTTAATATATAAAATTTTATGTAATAGTTTAGTATTGTTGTAAGAATATTAAAAAAAGATGTTGGTTTGCCCGAATAAAAACTTATCACTTATCCAAAATTTAAATCCGAAAAAATAATAAGCATAAGTGTTCAGCCACAATTCACGGTTCGGAGATAATAGGTGTATTGGCAAGTTAATATTTTTTTCATAATTTCGTGATCTAGATTGTTTGCATAAGTTTTCATGTTTCGTTGAATAATAAAATCATATACTTGTCCTTTCGATTTTTTCTCCCCAAATTTTCCGTTAGTCATGAATCCTTTAACCATATTTATGAATCTTTTAGCGTAAAAACACCAATATAATATTTCTTCTCGATTAGCTTTTATAGCAACTTTTTTTCGCATCACATGCATTTTTGATATAAACAAATAATATCTAGGAGATAGTTAATTTAATGGGGGACCACTCATAGCTGCACAGTTTAATCAATATTGAAATTAAGCAAATTATCTCTAAGACAAAACCGCAAATATTCTTCGTAGAGTAGCTGATTTCAAAAGTTAAGGTTACATATTTTAGCTTTATATATTTGAAGTATTTTTACTTGAATTTGATCATTATTTGCTTCGCTAAATCGTCGAGGTGAAAAGTTTCATGGGTCACACAAGATTATCAGGAAAAGTATAACCCCTTAACATTTAGTCTGGAGCTTCTGTATTGTGGCTTGTGCGCTATCACGTGCCTAGTATTTATAATAATTGCAATGTTAAAAATGTCTTTAATTTTACTTTAATTTTATTTTTCTATGCAATCATAATCAGAAAATCAAAAAAAAAAAGGTTCGAAATTTTATTACCAGAAAAGAGGAATGAAAGAAGGAAAGAAACTAACTGTACAACTTTATTATTATTTTTTTTATCGTAGTAAGTAAAAATATTTAGTAATAGTTTTTCTCTAAAGAAGAAATATATTATAAAGAAAGTTTTTTAATAATAATAATAATTAATAATAACGGAATTCTAAAAGAAGAATTTAATTAGTTCTTAAATAAATTTTGTTTAATAATTAGTTTAATTAATTACATTCATAAATGTAATATAGTAATGTCCTTTGACACATCGACCTTTATTTGATTTCTCTTCGCGTTTAATAATAATAAATGATTATATTCATTATATTCTCAATTAATTTACATATATTTATATATTTATTTATTTATTTATTTATCATGATTTAGATGATTGTGATGCTATTTAATCATTTTCTTCATTTATTTCATGACCATTTTTGTTTTTTGTCTTTCTTGAACGTTGATTGTTTTCAGGTTGTCCGCCACCTCTATTATTATTATTATTATTATTATTATTACTATTTCGACTATTACCAAAAAGATTATTTGCCCTACGAGAATAAATAGGTAAATTTCTAACTCCAAACCATCCCATTCTAAACGCGATTTCATTAGCACAAATTTCACCAAAGCCCAACATGACACCATTTATAAAAGGGAAAAGAAAATTTTGAGCAAAAATATTTACGAATGAACTATAAAATTGTGGTTGTCGATAAAATGGAACAACATTTTGTGAATGAATATCAGAAACAGATGATTCGGATGGATTATATCTTATATCTCCCCCATTCTCTGAATCAATATTAACTTCAGGTGATATTTCTCTCGAATGAGAATTCATTGGTGCTGGTGGTTGTTGTGAGGATATCTCTTGACGAGAAATTGGTGAAGTTGGAGGACTACCAATAGAAGTATTTAACACAACATATGGAATAGAGTCGTCTGCTTGTGTGGTAGCAGCGAGAAGGGGTGAAGTATTATTATCTGTCATTTAAAAAATGTAAATTTATGAAAATTATTTAAAAATTTATGACTGATGAAATATTTTTCTGTTATCTGTAACACAAATAAATATATAATATGTAGACGCTTTACGTAATAATCGTGATTACGTACTTACTTTCATTTCATGATAAAAAAAAAACCATTCAATAATTCAAGTTGATAATTCTTAAAAATGGTCCGTATATTAATAATTCTAAAAAAATTAAAATAAAATAAAATAAAAAAAACACCCATTTTTCATATCTTTCGATATATACTTTTTAGATTAACGTTTAATTGCTAAAATTATGAAAAATTATGAAAAATTAGGGTAACGCGCAATCCGGTCTTCCTCCACTTGGTGGTTCTGGAGGCGATGATAAAAATAAAGACGATAAAGTATCTTATTTTTTTTTATTACTTTTATAGATCGATATGTTTTTGGGTGGTCTTTGAATTGCTTTCATTTAACTAGATCATATGAAATTATATGAAAATTCATCGATAGGACAAAGATAAAAAAAAGAAGTGGGAACCGCCCCTTCCTACTCGCGTTGGTAAAAAAAGGAGGAGAGGACCGGACGCAACATCCAAATTGCCAGCGGGTGCTTATAAAAAGTTTTCATTTCACTATTATAATAAGATTTCATTACCCTTTTTTTACAATTGATTTCTCTTATAGTCCATCCCACAACGCGTTGCCGATTAAAGCTTTTAAAAATGGAACGTATAAAGGATTACTTGTTGATGGAAGAAGAATTCGTTCAAAATCAAGAACGATTGAAACCACAGGAAGAAAAGGCCCAAGTAGGTTTTCTTCAAAGATAATCGAAATTTATTGAATGTTATTGATTTATTCATTGATTTATTTATTGATTTATTTATTGATTTATTTATTGATTTATTTATTGATTTATTTATTGATTTATTTATTGATTTATTGATGTTATTTGATAATCGTATTATTAGGAAGAGAGAACTCGGGTAGATGATTTAAGAGGATCTCCTATGGGCGTTGGAACCTTAGAAGAAATTATTGATGATGAACACGCAATTGTTTCTTCGTCTACAGGACCTGAATATTATGTCAGCATTTATTCATTTGTAGATAAAGATTTGTTAGAACCTGGATGCTCAATTCTATTGCATCATAAGGTAATTATTATTATTTATTATTATTTTTATTTATTATTTATTATTATTTTTTATTATTATTATTATTATTTATTATTATTATTTATTATTATTATTTTTTTTATTATTATTTATTATTATTATTTATTTATATATTTTAATATTATTAGGCAATGTCAGTTGTTGGTGTACTTCAAGATGATACTGATCCAATGGTTAGTGTTATGAAACTTGAAAAAGCACCAACCGAATCATATGCAGATATTGGTGGTTTAGAGCAACAAATTCAAGAAATTAAAGAATCTGTGGAATTACCTTTGACTCATCCCGAACTTTACGAAGAAATGGGAATCAAACCTCCAAAAGGAGTCATTTTATATGGGATACCAGGAACTGGTAATTGTATTATATTATTCTATATATTTGAATATATATATATATATATATCTATCTATCTATCTATCTTTATATTTATATTTATTTATTTATTTAAAAATACCTTTTTGAATATATAGGAAAAACTCTTTTGGCAAAAGCAGTGGCAAATCAAACTTCTGCAACATTCTTACGCGTTGTGGGATCAGAATTAATTCAAAAATATCTTGGGGATGGTCCAAAACTTGTACGTGAATTGTTTCGTGTAGCCGAAGAACACGCACCATCGATTGTATTTATTGACGAAATTGATGCTATTGGAACAAAACGGTGTGAAACTTAATTTTTAATTACGATATACAATTATCCTTATAATTATTTATGATATTTATTACTTATAATGTAATTTCTTTTATATAGTTACGACTCAAATTCAGGTGGTGAAAGAGAAATCCAAAGAACTATGTTAGAACTTTTAAATCAATTGGATGGATTTGATTCTCGTGGAGATGTCAAGGTCATTATGGCTACAAATCGGATTGAATCACTAGATCCTGCTTTGATTCGTCCAGGACGTATTGATCGAAAAATAGAGTTTCCTTTGCCAGATGTAAAAACAAAACGTCGTATATTTAACATTCATACTGGTAGAATGACATTGTCACCAGATGTTGATCTTGAAGAGTTTGTAATGTCCAAAGATGATTTGAGTGGAGCTGATATCAAGGTAAAATTTCAAAAATGTTTTGTTTTTTTTTTTTAAAAAAAAAAAATAAATTCTTTCAAAGTAAATTTTTATCAATCTTTTTTTTTTCTTTTACCAATTTTTGTCAAATAGGCAATTTGCACTGAGGCTGGATTATTAGCTTTACGAGAAAGACGTATGAAAGTAATCGCTGATGATTTCAGGAAAGCCCGAGAAAAAGTTCTCTATCGTAAAACCGAGGGAACACCTGAAGGACTTTATTTGTAGATCTTATTTTCCTTTCAAATTATTGTTATTTATAATATTTTCATTTTATTCATAAAATTTTCAATTTTCAATTTCCAATTTTTAAATTTTTGCTGAGAATATTTTTGATTTTATTTTGTCACGCGAAACATGGTCTCCGCATTAACAATCGAACCAAAGTTCTCCAATTACTATTAAAAAAAAAATCGTTTTATATAGATAAATTTGAATAATAAAATTCATTCCAAATTATTATCCCGAAATTTTTATTGGTGGTAAAATGAATTCAAATTACATCAAATTTTTTAATTATTTTATGAAATCTTAAAAATTTTATTAATTAAATATAATTTTTAATAAGATATATATTAAATAATGAACAATAATGAACAATAATGAGCAATAACGAGCAATAATAAGCAATTAATGAGCAATTAATGAGCGTAATGATAAAATTGGGTTCATTAATGTTTCCCAATATTCCAACCCATTTTTCTTAATTTTTTAACTATTGGAGGAGTTAATGCAGCTGTTAAACCTATTCTCAAGGGGAGTAAAAGTTTATGAATACCATAAGAAATTACCAAAATACTCGCCCAAGAAGGAGATGATCTCTCAGTAACTTTATTATTATTATTTTCAGGTTTTTCTTTAATGATTTCAAGTATATTTCCTGAACTATTATTTTCAGGTTCTTTTCTTTTTTCAACAATTTTAATATTATCAATTATTATATTTCCTTCGTTATTATTTTCATTATTATTATTATTATTAATATTATTAATATTATTATTAATATTATTATTATTATTATTATTATTATTAGTTTCAGGAATAATTTCTTTCTTATTCTTTTTAAATGAAATCTTTGTTCCAAATGTTTTCGTGAACCAATCTTCAATGCATTTCACTCGATCCGCACCACCAGATTGAATTAAAATTATTGTCAATCCTAAATCTAAAGTTGAAATAACAGAATAAACAACAACTGCTGATACTCCATATTTTTTGATTAAAAGTTTGAATCGATTCATCATACTCGAATTCTTGGGTTGATCTTCATTACTTGTTGTTGTTGTTATGGGAATTCTATTAGTAAAATTTCGAATTTGATTGGGAATTAATAATAATAATTTGGTAAAAGAGTAATTATTGTTATTGCACCGCTGATATTGATGATGATATTGATGATATTGACGATATTGATGATATTGATGATATTGATGTATATATGATTTCTTAACACAAAAATATTTTATTAATGGAGAAGGAGTATTCAAAGAGAAAGCTTTCGTTGTCAGTCCAAACATTCCAGCAGACAAAGATAAATGTCTCCCTTTAGATATCGGAAAATTAACATATGTAGAGATCGTGGAGAATTTGACACCTTTATTTTGCCTTATTCCTCTAGCAACAAGTGGAATAAGGCGACTCATTATAAATTTTTTTTCCTGTGAAAAAAAATTTTTTTTTTTAACTATCGCTTTTTGAAAAATTATCAAAGCCTTACAAAATTTTTGATTTTTTTTTTTTGTCCAATCATTGAACAAATCGCGTACGTGTCGCGTTTTGCGTCACTATTACCAATAAATGTAAACGCAAAATTTTATTATAAAAATTTACTTTGATTTGTATATATTTATGAAGTTTCAATATATAAGTTTATAAGCTAATTAAGAGTACGGACGGCACAGGCGCGGACGTATGATTTATTTTTAACTGTTTGCATTGTTTTATCACTTGGACAAAATAGAGTGTAAAAGTATAAATTTATTAAATCTTGAATTATCACACTCATCATACTTTGCCTTTTGGGTAATGAAATCACTTCGACCACTTTTTGGTTCGACAATTATAGTTAGTAGAAATTACATTGATGATAGTCGATAAAAATTATTAATAATTTTTTTTTTCAATTTTTCTATTTAAATATTTTTAAAACTAATTGTAAAACTAATTTTGGTTATAAATAAAAAAAAATGTCAACGCCAATCCTTTTTCCCGATAGTACTTTTAGAACTATATAAATGTTTTGGCTTCTTGGATGTAATTTTTCTATCCGATTCACCCACCTTCGCAAACCTATTAGGTTTGCGTTGCGCAAGTTTCTTTTGTTTTTCACTTTCATTCTTTTGCTAGTAGTTAAAATTAAAAAAAAAAAAAAAAAAGGTTATAAATAAAATTCAATAAAAAATAATTCGTGAAAAATCTTTAGTTACCTTAACATCACGCATTCCAGAAACGCTGCGATCCCGTGATTCACTTGCAGATCGTACTCTTGATGACTCTCGAACGATTTCATCACCGACTGATTCTGACCGTTTACGTTTCCTGGTTTGACTGCGTGCACGGATTTCACTTGTATCTAGACCTAACTCGCCTAATTTCTTCTCCATTTCATTAATGGACTTGTAAAGAGAAAAAAAAAAAAAAAAGTTAATTTATGATTAATTTAATTAATTTAATTTATGGAATTTATAGATTTTCATAATTCAAGTTTTAATACCTTGGTAATTGCAGTTCTTGGCATAATAGGTCGATTTTTCATCATTTTTCTGGCTCTATGAGCTTGTACAATTAATTTCTTTTTCTCCCTAATAACATTAGCGGCTTTTTGTACCTCCTCTTCTTCTGAATCCATCTATTATTATTAATATTTTATTTAATAATATTAATAAAACAAATGGCATTCTATTTAATCAATTCAATTAATCAGGAATTAAAATGAATAAATTCTTTTTTCTTTACCATTTCTTCTTCTGAATCATAGTGATTTTCGGCCATAAGGCGTTCTTCTTCACGCTCTAAAGCGTCTAATTTCTCCTCAATATCCGGATCAAAAAAGTCTGCGATATTTTTACTATCCATAATTTCGGGAATGATATCACTTTTCCATTCCGGGGTTTTCAATAGATATTTTTCTATATAAAAAGGTATAATAAAATCCGGATTTTAATGGTGGAATAGTAAACTCGATTTTTAAGAAGATAAAAAAAAAATACTTACTTTTAAGATTAATATTATAAACACCAGGGCCTCCGTTTTCTATTTCCAAGTCTCTTTCTAGTTTATTCCTTTGAGGATCATTTAGGTCAAATTTAGGTTTATCCTTCTTCACTCCTTCAGGAATGAAAGGTGGACGAGGTATATCATCACGTGCAACAGGTTCAGCTAGATGAATCTTATTAATAACATCATTGATTTTGGAACCTCGAAGTTTGAAATCCACGCGGGCTGTTAACAATTTCTCACAAGCCTATTATTATAATTTCAAATAAAAAAGAAAACAATCCCGAAATTGAGTTAACATAAACATAATAATCGTTAAATATGTAAATATAATCATTTCTTTTAACTTACCACATTACGAGCATTCATAACACCTTCGTCAGTAAAACAACTCAGTTGAATTATTTGAGCTCCATCTTTTTCACTAATCTCATTTAACATAGCTTGTTCTTCTGCAGGTAAATTTTCTGGTCTCATTATATCAATTTTATTAATAACAATGAAAGTTGGTTTATTAACAAAAAGGGGTTTGATGTTATGATAAAGTTTTATCTATATTTTTATATATATTTTTAATGAATAAAGAAAACAAAATAAAATAAATAAATAAACATATAAATATATATTATAATGATCAATTCCTCATTCATTATTATATATTTAATTTTATCTTAACCTGATCAACAACACTATATCCACATTGTTCCGAAAGATCAATAAAAAACATAATGCAAGCACGAAGATGTGCAAGAGCTGTAACAGATTGCATTTCGATTGTATTCATTTGTTCCAAGGGATGATCCAAAACTCCAGGAGTATCAATTACCTGGATTTTTTTTAAAAAAAAAAAATTTTTATTACTTTTAAAAAGAAATGTAATGTAAATTTAATTTAAATTATTAGTAATCAACCTATTCACCTGCCATCTAAGATATTTATAGTCCATATGTCCAACGAATAATGATTTTGTAGTAAAAGCATACGGTTGAACATCAACATCAGCTCTGGTTATTTTATTCATGAAACTTGATTTTCCAACATTAGGATAACCACAAACCAATAAAGTACGAGTATTTGGATCTATAGAAGGTAAACGAGCTAAATGTTGTCGAACTTGTTCTAAATACAGTAAACTATCTTTTTGACGTTTAAGGATGGTGGCCATTCTAAATTTTGAAGACAAGATAATATATTAGATTAATCGAAATATATATTAATTATAGTAATAAACGAATTTGACATGAATTAAAAAATAATAATTTTTTACCTTCCAAGTGCTGCCTTCTTCAACATTTTACATCGGTAAAGCGAATCACCAAATTTCAATAAGCGAACATATTCTTTACCAACTTGATCTATTAAATGGCGTGCAGTATTTATTTGACCCAATGCTAATTTATAATGGTCTCTGTCATATAATACATTCATCAAATCCGAATAGAATGGATGAATATCCTACGAATTAAATAGTAAAGAAAAAAAAAATCAAAGGAATCATTCATTTTATTAATTTTATTGTATAAAACGAATTCAATTAAATTTGCTGAATTGATTAACGAACTCACATCGAGTTTCGGAAAATCGTCGAGAATGGATTTCAATTTTTCATCAAAACTTTCTTGGGTAAATTTGACTTTTCGCATATAAAATTGTCTTATTCTTCCAATCTTATACTGCTTATGAATTACTGTTGGTGTTTTCCTCTGTGTCTTTGAAAGCACTATATCCAGAAAATCATTAGCCGGAGGGATCGGCTGAACCCTTTTGAAGTTATATAATGCCATGTTTTCCTGAGCAACGAAAAAAATATATTAATTTAAATAATTTAAATCAATTAATTAATTTCGATTAATGTAAAAAAAAATCGAGTAATTATACATGTTACACATGTTAGTTAATCATCTAATCGAGATTTTTAATAACGTCACACTTCGATTATCCAAATTTGCTTCGCCTTGTATCAAGCAATTTTCAGATCAGCATTCATTTCATTCATTTACTACCAAATTATATTATTATTTACCGCCTTAACCGTTCGTAAAAAGGAGTCAAATTAAGATGCCAACACTTTATCATATGTTGAATGCCTTGATCTAACAAATGTTTTTTCTCAAGGTTATGATTTTGGAAACCAAAATTTCTTGGTCAACATAGTTCCAATTCCAAAGAACATGTCAACCTTAATTGTGGCTGGATTCTTTTCTTTTTCTCATTTTGAAAACCTATTCTATGGTTGTATTACAATAGAGTTAAGTAAGTAGAAAAATATTACCCAAATTTATTCTCAAGTTTTGTAATTACAGATTGATGGATTAATCTTATTTTTTATTATTTTTGCATAAAATTAGAAAGGAAATTAATTTGAAAATTTTGAAAAAATCAGAACCTTTGATGATTGAAAGTGCAACAAGTCATCATGTAATTTACCAAGCATCTTTGAAAGAAGTTTATACATCAACAACGAATATGTATCTATGACAAAAGTTTATATATAATTCTTCAGATTCTCCTTTGTACCCATCTTAATCAGAACAGCACGTTATCAAAAAATAAAACATTAAAAAGCCAAGACAAATTAGATAAAACTAGAGCAGAAAATTTAAACAAACAGTGGTATCATACTTTATAAATGAGGTTATCATTAACAATCAACCAATTTTTGTTGTATAAAAGATCTTAAAAAAAGTTATAACAATTATTACAGGAACCTACTGCCAATTTGAATAAAAATACAAAATTAGCAAGAACCAGATAAGCAGATCATGATAGCTTATATAGAGATAAGTCTTGATAATAATGATAATAATGATATAGAGTATATAGAAAAAGAAAAAAAAAGATTATTGAATTCAAAATTATTCAGGAAATATTAGCAAAAACTATTCAAGCATTTTTTATCCATTATATGAATGCTGATTGAATCAGGAAAGATTTTACAAATTATTACAAATGATATTATTCAATATGTAACATTTAAAAAAAATATTTACAGAGAAAAAAAATATACATGACAAAAGTAAAAAGCTTTTGACTCAATTTCAATTTTTCAATTTTTTCAATTTTTAATTTTGTTTAACTCAATAATTGTATCAATTTAACTATATAAAAATAGAAAAATTTGCTTGACTCAATTTCAATTTTTTTAGTGTCTAACTCAATTCAATAGTTTTAATAATATGTATAAGTGACAACAAAGATTATTAATTTTCTTTAATCATTGTTCAATGATGTACTAATGATAATTATTTTCCAGTACCTTATGTTCTGACACATGTTTCATTAGCTGTACTAGCCAATATCATTGTCACTATTACTTGTTTTCCTTTTTCATTCAAAAGTTGTTAATTATCTTATAACAAAATTCTCATACATTATATCTTATTGATGTTAACATTAATGATTTGAACTAAACCATTCTAAACCTATCTATATTTTTCTATCCTTTAATTTATTGATCTTATTGTTACAATAACCACTAGAATAATAGTTCTAAACTTAAAGAAGTAAATAAAAGTTTTGCCTATAGCAAAAAGTCCTTTTATATTTCACCTTTTAATTTGATCTGTTCTGTTCTAAATGCCTTAAACTCTTTAGTTCAATTACTAATTAATATATTTTATGAACAGTGTAATATTTTAATCAATAAAATAAAATGGATCATTAACTCTTATCAAGTAAAAAAGAGTAAATCTCACTGGTTAAATGAAGAAAAAAAGACAAAATTTTTAATACAAATAAGTAAGAAGATTTATAATATACATGTGATTTTAAATAACAAATTAATTTGTAGATAATATACAAATAGACAAACCAATTTGTGAATAATATACAAATAAGATAGGCTAGTTTACATTAAAATTTTACTGATTTTTGATTATTCAACATGTATCTATTGTATATTTGTATCTGAAATTAAATTTTATATAATTTTTGAGAAACAAAATAAAACAGATAACAAAATAGAATCACAGAAGTTTTAATTATTTTATTCAAAATCTGAAACAGGATATTTTTTTACCTCTATATAGAATAGATATTTCAATAATCTCAAAAGTTAAAATATATATTTTATTTTGGAAACATATATAACCTGTTACTTTTAAAACATTTTTCAATACAAATTGAATGAAATTAATTATAAATTTATATAGTTTCAGTTTATATAAAAGTTAACTTTTGTTAACAAGTAAACTGTATATTTATTAAAAAAGACAAAATCAAATAAAACATTTTACTAATTAAATAAAAAAAATAAATAAAATTTTTTAATATAAATAGATAAGGAAATATGCAAATAAGTAGAAAATTTGTAAATAAAATATAAATATATAAAGAGATTTTAAATAATATATAAATAAACAAGGAAATTTATAAATAATAAAAAAATTTTATAAGTTGATTTACATTAAAAATTTTATTAATTTTGATCATTTGACATGTGTTTGTCAATATTTACTATATATTACTAAATAAAATAATTTGATGATATAATTTAATATAATTATTTTACCAATTGATATAATTGATATAATTATTTGATTGAAAAGTATATTGACAAGATTTAAAAGCATGTTATACTCTATAAATAAAATTTTACAAATATAACTTATCATTATTATTATTGTCAATATTATTAATAATATTACTAATATCTTTACAATTGAATTAACAAGTATTTTATAATTTTTTTTATTTTATTATATTAATTTTAATAATTCAAAAAGGTAATGAAATTAATTTTTAGCATATGACATAATTAATTAAGATATATGATACAATGGTTACAACTATATATGTTCCTAAAATTGATTTTAGATTTTTGAGATATTTCAACTTTTTGAAATTTATACAGAATCTATTCTATATATGGAAGTAAAAAAAGTATTCAGTTATGTGTATATTCAATCAAGGAATAAATCTAAGTAATCAAAAAATTTTGAATTTTAAGTAAAATAATTTTGTCTTCTATGAAAAACTATTTCAACTTTTTTCCTCAAAATTATAATTTCGGGACCTCAAAATAATTTTGCATGCAAGTATAGTTACAACTAGTTACAACTTCTATAAAATAATTACAATAGATATCTTTAATTAATTCTTATCATTTGTCTTTTTTTAATATAGGTACATTTATTTTTAATAATTATCAAATATTGTTATTAGGAAAAAAATTATTTTTGTTAAAATTAATTTAAAAATTGTTATTACTTTTACAATAATATCAAGAATTTTTAAGAAAATCTTTATCAATATTAATTATTTTTAAGTTCTTTTAAATAAAAATAATAATTATAATATATAATATTTAACAATTTTTAAAATTTAATAAATTATTATTAGTCTTATTAATAATAACACTTTTTTAAAGTATTATTGAAAAAAAATATTATCAAAAAAAAAAATAATGTAGATTATATTTACATTCAAAATTAAGTTTTATATAATTTTATTTTTTTTAAAATATTTTATATAAATAATAAAATTTTTGATTATTTAAATAAATTTTTTGATTAAAATATATTAAATTGAATATTTTTTTATTTATATATATAAAATAAATATTTTAAAAATTCAAAATATATATTTTATTTTATAAATATATATAATGTATTTAAAATTAAATTTCTTGTAATTTTGATAATTTTGAAAAACAAATAGTATTATAAAAGTCAAAATTATTTATTTAAAATTTAAAATTTTTTGATTATCCAAATAAAATTTTTAATTAAAATATATTAAACTAAAATTTTTTTTATTTTCATATATAGAATAGATATTTTCAAAAATCTCAAAAAGGTCAAAATACACAAAAATTTAATAAAAAATATTAATTAAAAAAAATTAAGAAAGAGAAATTCAAATTAAATAAACATATAACAAAATTACTATTCAAGAACATATATTTAACCTTTTAATAATAAGAGACACTAGTAGTAATTTATTATATTAAATTATATATATTCTTAAAATAAAATATATATTTTGATTTTTTGAGATTTTTGAAATATTTATTTTATATATGAAAATAATATTTTTACACTGGTCAAATAATCAAAAATCAATAAATTTTTTAATAATAAAAATGAAAAAATTAATTGTTTTTATTTTTTTATTAATTAATATTCAGAATATATATGTTTTCAAAATTAATTTAGATTTTTGAGATATTTTGACTTTTTGAGATTTATGTAGAATCTATTCTATATATAGAAATAAAAAAATATCCAGTTATGTGTATATTTAATCAAAAAATAAATCTAGATGGTCAAAATTTTGAATTTTAAGTAAAATAATTTTGTCTTCTATGAAAAACTATTTCAATTTTTTTTTTTCTGAAATTGTAATTTCGAGGCTCCAAAATAATTTTGCATGTAAGTATAATCTGAAATATTATTAAATAAATTTATAGTTAAGAATGAAATATATTTATTGAAAAAATTTTAAACTTAGAGTTCACAAATTAAAAAAAAAGAAGACATTTAAATTTTGAATATCTATTTAAAATTTAAATATTTACTTTTTCTTTAATTTGTGAACTTTAGATTTAAATTTTTACAATAAATAAATTTCTTTAATATTTTTATAATTTAATTATTAAATTAAAAACATTTATATATAGTTACGATTACAGATTTATATAATTTAATAATTTTATACTTATATACCTTATAAGAAATATGTATATTTAAAAAATGCTTAAAATATAATTAAAATATTATTGAAATATTATTAAAATATATTTAAAATATATTTAAAATATACTTAATTATAT